ATGGCGCTCAGCCGCGCCCCCTGCAGCTGAGAGGCGGAGCCAGCCGAAGGCTGCCGGCCCGCCTCTGCTTGGGCAGGGGCTCTGCGGAAGCGCCGGCCAGTGCGAGAAAATTCTATGATTTCTGTCATCCGTGTCCGCTGGTTGGGGCCGATGGAAGAGTTCAAGCACATTTGTAGAAACACGGGCTGCCCAACCAAGCTGGCAGCCTTTTCTCATAACCGTTTTCAAGTCGGCTCGACACTTTGCTGTTAAACGGGGGGGGGGGGGGGGGCGAGCCTTTTTACCTGAAACCAGAGGGAATAAGTCATGATTAGTCTGTTCTTTGAAACAAATAATTTCAACAACAAAAAATTAAATTATTTCATGTATTTATTCCATTTTTTACTACCCATCTACTCTCGACCATTGCAACAAAGCAATGCTATTTGGTCAAGTGATGACATTAAAAATGAAGCAGTGAAGGAGAAGCTGCTGCCCATGTGGCATGTAAACTCCAAAACAGATCTAATGACTGTTTCCAAAACCAGAGGAACAGCATTCAAAGGTACTAAGGCAACTGCAGGTGTAATCTGAGACTTTAAAAATGTATTGCATGGTGAGATGGGAGGCAGACAAATATCCAGATTTCCAAAAAGGGGAGAAAGATCCAGGCAACTAGCAACAGGTTGATATGGATACCAGGAAATATTCAAGAGTCAGTCTGTGAGGTCTTAAAAAACTAGTGTTACTGAGAGCCAACATAGGTTACCAAAGGCATCATACCATGCAATACATTTTTAAAGACAATTACAAACTTAGTAGCTCAAAAGCATGCTCAGAATGTAATACAGTGATGTCTCACAAGATGGTTTTAATTCATTCGATGGAAATTGCTATCTTACACAAACATCATCTTATAAAACCCAATTCCCCACTAAAAGGCATTAAAGTCTATTTAATACCTTTCAACAAGGGAAAATGTATACAATTGAGATCCCCACATTTAGAAAAATAGTAATCAATAGTATAGTACTGTATACCAAAATTGTAATGGATGAAAAACCACACTTATTACATGGTGTTTCCCCTGTAAAATTTCTTAAAATGGTCCTTTCACCTCCTACTGCCTTCTGTTCCCTGACCTTCTAAATTGTGATGACCCCCTGCTGCACCTCCCACTCAATACAGGGCTACACAGCCCCAGTCCTGCCAGAGGCCAAGAGAGCTCCTCAGTGTTTTGGGGTGCCCTGCCGAACCCCCATCAGGG